TGGATTGCTTGCAAACCTACTCACAACTCCCACTGCATGGGCGATGTCCGATCTCGTGCAAACCATCACGTACATGAGACTCCCGATGATCGAAAAATATGGCACTCTGCTCATATGCTCTCTATCTGCATCTGTCTTAGGCGATTGATCCTCAGATAGCTTGAACTGACTTCCAAGGGGCGTGCTAACGACTTTAGCATTCTGCATGTTAAACCTCTAAAGTACCTTCTCAATGTATTCAGCTTGGCTCAATCTCAACGTCCATTCAGCTTTATCCCTACTGATTCGCATCCCTAGAATCTGTTTTGCTACACCCAGATCCTTCATTGCAAACTCTTTTGCTAGCTGCTTCTTCAAATTGTTTATATATTTTAAACACGGTCCTGCTACCAACATGTCATCAACATATAATAATAAGATAATAAAGCTGGACTCGAACCTTTTAAAATAACAGTAATAATCTGAATTGCATCTTCTGTAGCCATTGTTTTGCATGAAGTTATCAAACTTCTTGTACCACTGTTTCGGAACATGTTTCAAACCATATAAACTCTTCTTGAGCTTGCACACCATCTTTTCTTTTTCTTCTTCAACGAAACCAACAGGCTGTTTCATGTAGATTTTTTCATCCAAATCACCATGAAAAAAGACAGTCTTCACATCTAACTGCTCAAGAAAGAGGTCTTCTGCAGCTACCAAACTCAACACCACTCTGATAGTTGTGAGCTTCAGACCGAAAAAAATATCTCCGTATAGTCCACTCCTTCCGGCTGTTAAAACCTCTTCACTACTAATCTGACCTTGAATCTCTTGCTTCCATCACTCTCTTGCTTGACCTGGTAGACCCATTTGTTATGTAAGGCCTTTTTTTGTGCAGGTAGCTGGACTAACTCTCATGTCTCATTAGTGAGTAGAGAATCCATCTCCTCCTGCATCGCATGCTCCTACTGTTGATATTCACTCATTTACATAGCCTCCTCATAGCACTCAGATTCACTGCTATCTGTCAATAATAAATACTCAAGAGATGAAAGATATCTGTGATTTGGTTTGGGTACCCTAGATGATCTCCTAAGCTCCACGCCATGGGTAGTTGCTTCTGCACCTGGAACCTCATCCGTTCTATGGTCAGAACAAACATCATCACCTCTATCTGAAAGTTCCTTTAAATTCATGTACTCGGATCCACCTGCATCCGTAGTGCTGCTCCCACTGCTTTCTCTATCATTGGTATTTTTCCTGTTCTTGTACATCACCTTCTCATTGAATATCACGTCCCTATTTCTGATGATCTTATTGTTCTTCTCATCCCAAAGATGATACCCGAACTCATTAATGTCGTATCCAATAAATATGCACTTCTGTGACTTAGCCTCTAGCTTGTCTCTAACATGGTCACTGATATGAACATAAGCCACGCAATCAAATACCCGCAAGTGTGAGAGATTTATCTTCTTTCCACTCCAAATCTCCTCTGAAATCTTAAAATCCAATGGAACTTATGACACATGATTAATAAGGTAAGTTGTCATATGCACCGTATCCGTCCAAAATGTCTTAGGCAGACCTGCATGTAATCGTATGCTCCTGGCACGCTCCGTCAAGGTTCTGTTCATCCTCTTTGTAATGTCATTCTGTTGCGACGTCCCTAGAGTAGTCCTCTCTAAACGAATACCATTTGTAGCACAAAACCTCTTGAACTCCTCCAGCTCGTATTCTCCATCATTGTCTGATCTCAGGCACTTCACCTTCAGATATGTCTCGTTCTCCACTATGACCTTTCACTTCTTGAAGACTCTGAACACCTCTGACTTGTGCTTCATGAAGTAGACACACACCTTCCTTGAGTGATCGTCGATGAAGTGGACATAATATCTTGAACCGTCAAAAAAAAACACACTGGCTGGACCTTATACATCTGTATGAATCAACTCTAGCTTCTGAGCCTTAGGTGGCCTTCCACCCTTCTGAAAACTAACCCTCTTTTGCTTCCCAAATATGCAGTCTTCACAAACCTCGACTTCCACGGAGTCAATCCCGATTAGCTTTCCCTGTGAATGTAAGATCTTCATCCCCTTCTCGCTCATGTGTCCTAGCCTGTTATGCCACAGATCTGTACTTTCTTTGCCAGCTGTAATTACGAGGGTGTCACTCGCATGTAAGATGAGATAAAGAGTCCCTAGTTTGTTGTCTCGAGCAACTATTATCGTACCGCTAGAGATTCTTCACGAATCCCCTGTGAATGTCGAAACATAGCATTCTGCTCCAAGCTGTCCCACCGAAATAAGATTCATCTTCAGCTTCGGCACGTGTCTCACGTTCTTTAAGGTCCACTTAGAACCCTTCATCTGAATCTGCACTTTACCATTTCCAATAATATTACAAGGCTCGTTATTTCCCCAAATAAACTTTTCCAAAGTCCCCTGTTATATAATTCTTGAGAAGCTTTCTGTTAGCAGTAGCGTGGAAAGAGACTCCTGAGTCGATGACCCAAGAATCTGAGTCGCTATCCATAACAAGGATCAAGGTATCCTGTATGATATGAGCCTCCTGCTCACCTGTATCATTCTTTTGACTCTTGCAAACTGAAGACATATGGCTCTACTGACCGTAGTTCCAACAATTCCCTTTAATAGGCCTAACCTTCCAGTTTGACCTATTCTTTACTGATTTCGACCGATTCTTGTTCTGGTTCCCTTTCTTCTAACTTCTGCCTCTTTGCTCGAAATTATAGGGCTGAAACTGAACCTTCTGATTCGGATGATTTCCTTCTAACCTCCTCGGATAGAATCATGCTAACCACCTCACTCAACTTTAACTTTTCTTTTCTCACCGAATTGCTGATTATCGTCACACAACCTGCCCAACTATCTGGCAATTACGATAGTAACAGTAGGGCCTGCACTTCGTCATCAAACGTGATGTCTACGAAGATAAGCTGATCAACAATCGTGTTGAACTCGCTGAGGTGCATCGTGAAGGACCGTCCTTCTGCTATCTTAAGGTTGAAAAGAGTCTTGACAAGATGCACCTTGTTTGCTGCCGACGGTTACTCGTACATCTTCGTGAGTACTTTCATAAGCTCCACTGTCGTCTTCTCCTTCAAGATATTGTGGGCTACTAATTTGGCGAGCGACAACCGGATTTACCCTAGAGCCTTCCTATCTAGTATCTCTCAATCATCATCTAACTTCTCTTTCTTTTGTCCCTTATCCTTGCCCATCAACGGAAAATACAAGTCCTTCTGGTACAGATAATCATCCATCTGCGACTTTCAGTAGGCGAAGTCTGAGCCGTCAAACTTCTCGATCTTAGATTTGATTTTCTCTATCATGACTTTTACACAAATTGCTGAACGAAACTCTGATACCAGTTATTGAGGATTCGAAACAATCAAATCAAACACTTACCCTTCCAGACCTTGTGTTGAAAGTAGGAAAGTAGAAAAATTCACCACAAATAAAGATCAAAACTTGCAGGAATAATAAAGGAGACGAACACACAGATTTAACGAGGTTCGACAACGTGCCTATGTCCTCGGGAGCCACACCACATAATTCTTTTATTGATTGAAGAAGAAATATAAACTCTCAAACTAGGGTTTTATCTCTCTGAGATCTCTCTATCAAAAGCTCTCTCTTTTGATGGTTTTCTGAATGTGAACGACTGATTCCTACGGTCCTCTCGGAACGCCAATGCTGCTCATATGCGGCACAACTGCTGGTGCTCAACCAATTTACGAACGTTACTTTACCCAACCAACGACGGCGTTCACACAAGAAGAAGACTTCTGAGGATGAATACCTTAGAGTCTGAGATCTCTCTATCAAAAGCTCTCTCTTTTGATGGTTTTCTGATGCTTAACAAACCCTAAAAACGTTTGAGTATTTATATCAAACTCAGTCCAAACAGATTTCCTGAACTCATAAAGAATCTGGCAAATAGCAACGCGGTCGACTGCGACGGTCGACCGAACCAAAACCCGAGAGCAGAAAACATTACAGGGTCCGCTGACTCGCGGTCAACCGCCAGGCTGACCGGCAGTTCTCCTGGACTTTTTGGACTGTGTTCTTCGTAATTCCAGCTTCGGCTTCAACTTTGGGTCTACACTTTAGACTAACACCAACCCCCCCCCCCCTTTTTAAATTTTGAAAGCAATAAAAAATAATCCCTTGGGCTGCAGTTACCCCATCAAGTAAATGTCTGCCTTTAAGAAAGCCTGACTGAACTGGATCAACAAACACATCCAGCTTAAGTTTCAGTCTATTAGTCAGCACCTTAGTGATAATTTTATAAATCACATTCAAGAGACTAATAGGTCTATAATCATTGACAGTTAAAAGACTCTTTTTTGGAATAAAAACAATATGAGCGTAATTGAGTCTGTTGATTTCCAATTTGCCTTCATAAAACTCATTAAAAATCTTCATAACATCATTTTTCACAGTATTCCCAAAAAACTTGAAAAAATAAGGCTAAAAAACCATCAAGTCCTGGGGATTTATCTCCATTCATATTTGAAACTACTTTATACACCTCTTCCACAGAAAAAGGTTATTCTAAATCACTGACTCCCCATTCAACATCAGTCATCAGGGTATAAGCTACCCCAATTAAGTTGGCATCTGTGAGAAATAGCCTGCCCAAAACCCTATTTGTAGTGGTCAAAAAAGACCTGAGCAATTCCATCATCAGAACTAATCTCAGTATTATTCACTATAATGAAAGAAATCAGATTGTTTCTTTTTCTTCCATTAGCCAATTTATAAAAATAGGAAGTATTTTTATCCCCTTTTTTAAC